GGCTGCGATGATGGGCTCAAGTATAGCAGGGATTGTGGGGCTGGCGCGGGATCGGGCAGTGTTTCGTTCTGCTGTGCATGGGGTCGCTATGAGTCAGAAATGACTCGACAGCACTTAACAACAACAACAACAGACTGAATTACAGCACACTTATTTCTCCCCTACTAAGAGTCATTTGTACACGAAGTTTTGTATTTATTATTATGGAGTTGGTGGGTGGTGCAAACAGTTAAGACAGTTAATGTGCTCAGCTACTAACCTGCTAACAGAAAGGCTGGATTCAAACCAGAGAGGCCTCTGAAAGTAGACATGATATCTACTTTGGAAAAATAAGCTATTGAAAACCCTGTGGATCATAGTTCTACTTTGACACACACAGGATACCATGAGTCAGAAGTGACTCAGTGGCAACTGGTTTTTATGTATTACTGTATTATCAAGAGCTTGTTACATAGGTACTCAAAAAATGTTAGTGTAATGAATGAGAATCATTTACCATTAAGGCACCAACAATGTCATTAGTTAATAATGATAAACCTGTAATTAATCATCCAGGTTACATATTTATTATGTAATTAATTATCCAAAGAGTCAAGTCCAAATTCTTTCACATTGGGCATATATGCCCTTCTATAATTTGGATCCAGCCTACTTTCCTAATTTCCTGTCACATCATATCCTTCCTTTCATGTTTTCTACCCCCAAATGAACAGAATGCTCATTCATACACGTAAATACCCTGCTTGTTCTAAATTGCAGAAGTTTGCTCATAGTGGTTCCTTCATCTGGACTGTTCCGCCTCTCCAGATTCTAATGTCTAAATCTTACCGATTTTCCAGAGCCCAACTCAAATACCATTCCCTTCATGAAATCTTCACTAAACAATTCTGGCTAAATGTCATCCTTCCCTCTCTAAATTTCCACAGCACATCACTTATACCTCTCCTGGAATACTCATGCCTCTCCTTTATTTTAGTTATTGTATGTACAATGTTTCTCTTACTAATCCATAAATTTTACGAGACAAGATCTATGTGAATAATTTTGGTAAGCCTCACAAAGTACAGCAGAGTACCATGTACAGAGCAGATGGTAAAAACATTAAAAAGTAAATGTACAATGTTAGCAAGTTGTTAAATATTCTTAGGAAACCAGATAATGGATCAAGAATTCTATTTTAACAAGTTTATCTGTATTTTAAAATTATGTATTTACAAAGATTATTGAAAAGAATCTGTAAATGATGAGCAGGGGATAAACAAAAACACCCCACCACACCACCAGAGAACAATAAAAATGAGTCAATTCTTTTTTAAAAAGGTAATTTTAAAAAATGACTTACATGCACACACAAAAGGTTTCTCATCATTTTGGTACTTGGAAAAGGAATAATCTCTTGGCTTTTTAATTTTACTCTTGATTTCTTCAACATGATAGCCGTGAAATATCCTTCTTCATTACCTTCAAATGGTTGTAGAAAAGAATTTAGGCTGGGAAAGAAAATATGCTTAGGGTATTTTTAGTTTATCACAAGTTCCCTTCTAAAGTTTTTACAACAAATGTATACAGGTATTTAAATGGATCTAAACCTTTGAAGTAAATAAAGATGGTCAACTGACTCCATAGCTTACGTACCCCCTCTTCAAATTCAACTGAAAGAATGAAAGAAATATAAAAATAAGAATAAACTGACCTAAGTGACAAGTTACCAAATATCTATCAAACCAGAAAATTTGAGAAATTTCTCCAAGACAAGTTACAAGTGAGACTTGAACTGAAGCAAACCAACATGGATTTACTTCTACTCACTCTGGAAGCACCATAAAAATGTTAATAAATGAATAAAAATTTTTAAAAAGGTATAAAACTGCAAGAAAGGAAGAAGAGAACCAGAAAGTGGTAAATGAAAGCTTTCAACAACTATTCAGAAAACAGAAGGTAAACTGGGTAATGAAAACTGAGGAAATCACTTGGTACCTGTAGCAGAAGACAACCAACAGGAAGCTATCAGACTTGCTGCACAAAAGCCAGCAAATACTTAGCACTCCAACACAAAAGCACTACAAATGGTAGAAGTAAGGTGTTGGACAAACAACAGAGATGGCTAGTTTAAGGTCCAGGTGTGGTGCTAAACACCTCCTGGTCTCCACCCCAACCCCATATAGCTAGGGATCACTCCTCTACTCAATTGGAGATTAGAGGTACATAGAGAAATTGAATTTTAGAGACTCTAAACAGAGTCACTAGCTGCTTTTGTAAAGGGTATGTTTGTTGGTGGAGGGGATACATGGGGATGGGCTGAGATATGGAACTGAAAACAGGGGTTAAGTGAAAGTGTGTCTACTAAGAGAGGAAGGCTCATCTCCCCTCCTGGGATCTGCTTCCAGAAGGTAGGAAAACTAAGCTTAAGGTCCAGTATTCTGTCCAGCAGAAAGAACTTAGAGAAAGTGAATGGCCTCAGATTAAAGGCATGTGTACTGACATACTGACAATATACAATGAATAAGCAGTTTATTCCACAGTCAGTCCCTTGTAATGAGGTATATCCTAAGTAGCTCAGCTCAGGGATACGGAATTGTGATCAGCTTTTTAGTGCCTGGACCCCTACACATTTAAGTAACAAGCCTAACATAAAAAAGAGTCACCAAAACAAACAAACAAAAAAAGGAAATAAAAAATAATGCAGGGAGAGATTAAAACCTAAAACAAACAAAGCTTGACGTCTTCAAAAGGTAAGATATAGGTGGTCCCTGAGTTACAACGCATTGAACTACACATTTTTGTACATCTTATCCTTAGTGATATGTGTACTACATACAATGTTGCAGTGTGTAACTTACAGATGTTGTCATTCTTATGCCAACCCATAGAGACAAATGAAGATCAGATTTATAAAGATACTCACAACAAAATAACAATGAAAACTTAAAAAGAAAAAAAGGTATTTGATTTCTATCAGGACTGACTTATGATGGAGTCATAGAAACGGAACCCCATCACAAGTCAGGGACTACCAGTACTGTATCCATTAAAAAGAGCCATTCAGTAGAAAGAGACTTAAACAATTAAAATAATACCTAAAAGTCAAGACAGTTGCCAAGAAAGTAGGACAGTCAAAAAGATGAGAAAATAGCAGAAAAAACATGAAAATTAAAGGATCAATCAAGGAGTTTTAACATTTGAGAAAGAATTCCAGAAGGAGGGGTGAGATATAAAAGAAGGAAAAGAGGGAGGAAAGGAGGAACAGAGAGAAAGAAAGAAGAGAAAGGAAGAGAAGGGAGGAAAATGAGGAAGGAGAAAGGAGGGAAAAGAGACAGGGAGGGGAGATGCAATGGAAGGAAAGGAAAGGAAAGGGGAAGGAAGAAAGCAGGTAAGCTTGAAAAATGATAGTAGGTACACAAGCAAGCAGGAAGAAAGAATTTTCCAGAACTGAATGTTACAAGCCTCCAGACTGGAAATCCCTATGAAGTGCACAATAAATGGAGGCGGGGGGTAGGGTGGGGAGTCCTAAAGAACACTAGGGTTAAAAAGACAGCCCTCAAAGCTTTGGGGATGTGGGGGCTGGGGAGAGAAGAATTAGAATAGCATCAGACTTCCCATAATCAGTAGCCGAAACTAAGATACACTGAAATAATACCTTCAACAATGCGAGGGAAACGATCTTCTGCCTAGAAAGGTAAGCCCAGCCAACTATAAACCAAGTATGAAGGAAGAGCACAGGCATTTTAAGCATGCTAGGATTCAAAACTTCACCAACTATGCAACTATTTCTTTTATTGTGGTAAAATATTTTATCATTTTCAAGTGGCCTATCTAGCGGTATTAATCACACTTATAATGCTAGATGTGTGATTAGAGAATGTCCTTCAATAAAACAAAGAAGTAAACCAAAGAGGAAGAAAATATGAGAGTCAGAAAACAAGAAATCCAAAGTAGGAGAAAAGCAAAAAAATATTCCCAAGAGAATGCAGAAAATAAGTTCCATAAAGGAAGAAAGAGCAAGACAGACATTCTCCTTAACAATTTTGGTGCATTAAAGTCTTCCACTATGACTGTGGAGTCACCTATTTGGCTTTTCAACTCTTTTAAAGTCTGATTTATGTACTTTGGGGCTCTTTCATTGGGTCCACAGATATTTATTATGGTTACATCTTCATGTTCAATTGATCCTTTAATCATTATATAATGTCCTTCTTTGTCTCGTATG